GCCGACACCTCCTTCCAATCTCATCGTAGCGCTCCTGGGCGAAGTTCACCGACTTGTCGTCCATCTTGTTGCAGCACACAACCATCTGCTTCACGCCGAGCGTGAAGGCGAGCAGCGCGTGCTCGCGTGTCTGGCCGTCCTTCGAGATGCCCGCCTCAAACTCACCCTGCGATGACGCAATGACAAGGACGGCGGCGTCCGCCTGAGACGTGCCCGTGATCATGTTCTTGATGAAGTCGCGGTGGCCGGGGGCGTCGATGATCGTGAACACAGACTTGGGCGACTCGAACTTCCAGAGCGCAATGTCGATCGTGATGCCGCGCTCGCGCTCAGCCTTCAGCTTGTCCAACACCCACGCGTACTTGAACGAGGACTTGCCGATTTCAGCCGCCTCCTTCTCGAACTTCTCAATCGTCCGCTTGTCAATGCCTCCGCACTTGTAGATGAGGTGGCCAGTGGCTGTGGACTTGCCGGCATCGACGTGGCCGACCACCACGAGGTTCATGTGCACCTTTTCCTTTCCCATTATGCGTGTTTTTACCTTGCGGGACTGAAAAAACAATAAAAAGCTGTGTAGCAGACCTAGCGTCAGCAAAGAAAAACATGAAGAGATGGTTTTACGAGGAGAAGGCGTAGATGTATAATAATGTTAGTTTTTTTTTTTGTTTGTGTGTAACTTTTGTACTTTTTGGGTGGAGATGGTGTTTCGCAAGTTTTGTCAAGCGCTGTCTCTTGTGTGCATGTCCTTCTTTTTCATTTGTATTCGCTTCCCTTTACGCGTGCGTTGTTTTTTATTCCCGGTGACTGCGCAGAGTAAATGTTTTGTTTTTTATCTCTTTGGAGAGGCTGCGGGAAGAGAAGATGATCATGTAGAAGACTGCAATGGTGGCAAATACGGAGATGAATGCACATGCGCTCAGTGCCGTGTGTGGGTTGTAGGCGCGGCGCTCCTCCCAGTGGTACTGGAGCTCAATTTCTTCGTGGTGCACTGGTGCGTATACCGGCTCCGCGTAGAACGTCGTTATTTTATTAAATGTGCCCTCCTGATAGCCAAAGCTGAAGGTGACAGCGGCTAGATAGAGCATGTTCTCGTCGCGAACGGATGCATTTTGGAGCCTTTTGCTCATGGAGGGACGCACGGTGGTTTTTAAGAGCGGCAGCCATGCGGTCGATTTGCCTAGACCGCGCTCCAACTGGAAGCGCACGGCGACATCACTGAGGGAGCGGCCGGAGGCTTGTGTCTGTTTATGGGCGTGCTCAAAGAGTCGCTTGGCCGGCTGGTGCACACGTCTGTTGATGCCAAAGCGCGGGCAGAAGTCGGGCGGCAGTGGCCGGAGAAACTGCTCACCCTGGCCACTCTCCTGCATGTCTTCTAATTCTTCCATGTCATTGCGGCCCACGGTAATAGTCGGTGCCACACGCTTGAGGCGCATGTGCAGAGTGACGGGGATGATCTCGCCGACATTCCACGCATCCACACCCCACCCTGACAGTAGGAGCAGAAAGAACACAGCCAACAGTGTGTGCTCCCACAAAATCCACCGTCGCATCATATTAGTCTTCACCCTGTTCCGCTAAAACAGCTACTGTTGTCTCCTTCCTGAGCGTTTGCTTGACGGATCCAGCAGCAGCAGCAGCAGCAGCAGCGGGTGTCTTCTTCCTTCTTTTTTGTCCTTCCAAAACCCTTATTTTGAAACCCAATGGTTATTTCTGCGAAGCAAAAAGACAAGAATAATTGAAAGAAGTTATGTATTGCTCAAAAAGGCGGTGGGGCTTAGCTCCGCATATCGTCACCATATCTCTGATGACTATTCATTTTGCAAGCAACAACTCCTTCTTTGTTTCTTGTTGTTGTTGTTGTTTGTATTTTTCCTCGTCTCCTCCCACATATATGTGAAGAAGAATCCAATGGCCGAATTACCGCCGGCGAGGGTGCTTTGGCTTCCCGAACGGATGAGAAGGGGCAGCTTCGACACGATCATGAACACTTCTTACCGTGCAACGTTCTTTTACGCGTAGCAGTCGAGTTGCCAGTGGCCCTTGCGCTGCCAGCGCCCACGCGCGTGCCACGGTGGGGTATGTGAGCGCCAACACCATCACCTGCAGCGGGAGCAGACCGTTGGCAATGTTGTGCCCCGTGTGCAGTGCGGTGAGTTTGTCGGCGTCAATGCGGCATCCGGCGACTGTCCAGCCATCCTTGTGACGGCCGCCCTCCCAGTCGACAAGGCCAGTGAATGGGTAGTGGTAGCGGTGAAGACATGCCTCAATGCCCGCCGTGGTCACCATGTCGTGGAGCAGCAGCCACGAAAATACGCCGGTGCATCCGGCCTCGAGGAATAGTTGATAAAACGCGATGGGCATCGCGTTGTCGATAAGCCACAAAATCGGAGGTGAAGTGCGCCATGAAAAGCGGCGATGTGGCTGCACGGGCCGCGGCTTATTTGCCTGCTGATGCTTTTTATGCCGCGGTGGCTGTGCCGGTGCTTGCGACAAGAATCCGCGAGCACCGCGAGCCATGACACCTGCCACGCCACGCCGCCACATCTACTGCCGTGTACTCTTTTGGTGGAAATAAAACGAAGAAGAAAAACACAAGAACATACACAGACACACACATAAATACACACACGCCCTTCTGTCATCAGCACGGCTGGTGCCGCAAATTCAAGAGCAGGAAAAAATAAACAACTTCACACACACAAAAAAAAAAAAAAAAAAAAGAAAAACACCGTTTTGTTTTCCTTTCCTTTTTTGGCTTTTTCTTCACTTACACTTTTATTCGCTGTTGTCTACACACGGTTATTGCTTTACGACTCCTCTCCGTGCGGGGTTGTATTTTCTTCCGCCTCCCTCTGGCACAGCGCGGTAGAAGGGGCAAAGACGGCGGTGTACCGCCTGTTCATTGCGGCCACTGTCGCATCCACCTGCGCAAGCGTCACACGATGGGGGACGCCCTCCTCCGCCACCTCCCCGTTCTCTTCATCGTCGTCGTCGTCCTTTTCTTTTCCGTCATCCCGCCGGGTTGAAGGCCTCTCCACTGAAAGAAGAGAAAAAATGTCAAAGTGGCGTGACATGCACGCGTCGCTGCCACCGTTCGCATCACCACTGTCGTCGTGCCCCGATTCTTCCTCTTCCTCCTCGGCACCTTTGGGGCCCAGGCCAAACGTCAGAATGTGCATAGCAGCGCTGGCAGCGGCATCGCTACTCGCCCTTTCCACCACCGCACGGACGAGGGCCTCGCCATCTGCGCAGACCTCAAGGCCGTACTCGACAACAAGCCGCGCCACCCGCTCCTCTGTCTGCGCCACAAACCACGCCAGATGGCCGTTCGTGGCGTTGCGGAGATGCACCTGGTCGTTGAAGAGAAGCAGCGGTGCACTACGTCTTTTCTCAATGGGGTTCGTTGGCGGCAGGGCGTTCTCAACAAACGTCATCACACGATCATAGGCGGCGAGGATGCACTCAGAGCGTTTCATGGTTGGCGCCCGCCATGACATCATGCCGTGAATCGTTACAATGTAGAAACTCGGCTTTCGCTGATCATTCCTAGTGGAGAAGGGTGCCCCAACTGTTGTTGCTCCCGCTGTTGTTCTTGAAGAAGAAAGTGGAGGAGAATGGGGTCGCGTTGCTTCCAAACGTCGCTTCTTTCGGCGTTTCTGCTTTGGTGCGTCTAACTCTTCTTCCCCCCTCGTTGCTTCCACTGAGACTGCCGCTGTGGCGATGTTTTCCCTCATCGATGGGGCGGTGTCTGTGATCTTCGACACCGACACAACCGCATTACCAAGGTGATGACACACCTCCAGCCGCTGCGGGTACAGGCTGTAGTTGTACGCCGTGTAGCAGTTCAGTGAGCCACGAGCAAAGCGGTGCAGAACGGAGCGCCCCATTAGCAGATTGCGGCTGTTGCCTTTCATGACGACATCAAATACCCCGAGGTCCCGCACGTCCAGCGGGGAGAGACGCATCCCTGTGTACCCGTCGTCTATTTCCACCTCCGTGGCAAGTCGCATCTTGGCAGGGTCAAAGAACGCAAGACCTTCTTGAAGACTCATGGAGAACGTGGCCGAAGGATGTAAATAGCGGTGATGGAAATTGTTGTCATCAAGCTCTTCCTCTGGTGGCCGAACAAACTTCACTCTATTGTTTCCCCTCAGTTGGTGTTCTTCGTCGGAGGTCTGACGCTGCTGTTGTTGCCGTTGATACATCAGCTCCGCTGATGTCCATGGCACACGGCGTGTTTCCCACACGTACAGGAACCGTGAAACTCCTTTTAATACCGCCTTCAACTCTTCAACAGAAATCACCTGGCGGCCCGACGTGTCTTGCGTGGCGGTGCATAATGTGTACGACACCACCCTTGGGTGCGGCGTCGAGAGCGGTGGACGACGAATCGGCCTGCCGTCAAGGCTTGTAAGATTCGGCAGCGAACTGCGTACCTGCTCCCGGTACTCCGGCTTGCGTGTGATGGGGTTGTTCTCAAGCGAGAGACGCAGCAGCCGACTTGAAAAATGGGCACGGAGTAAGAAGAGGAAACGAAGACTCATAAGTCGATTGTCGCTCATGTCCAGAGCGATTAGGGTGGTGTCCAGCTGGTGCTTACGTAGGGCGTTGATGAGGGCGTCCGCAGTCCCCATGGCACATCGACGCATGGTGAGGGAACGCAACACCACTGGCTGCTTCTGCTGCTGTTGTGTGGCTTCGTCATTCATCCAGTTGAATGTCCACACGATGGCCTCCACCAACTCATGTGCACATGCCGGGGAGCCAATGTCAATCTCTTTCTCCGACACGCCACGTGGAAACCGAAGCGTATTGCTGCCTGTAAAATAAGCCACCGTCCTGGGACGAATAATGGCGTCGTCCGGATGCTGCGACACGTACGCAACGATTTGTGGAAGGGATGAGAGGTCCACGACCCCGAGGGACGGGCGGAAGACGGTGACAGTCACCACCCGCTCCTCCTCCGCCTCCACGTCGACGCCATCCGCATCACAACCGTCAAGAAGCATCTCCGCCTCTAAGTGACGCCGCACATCACACACAACCCTCTGGGGCACCTCAAAACTCCCTTGCCACAGTAAGCACGCCACACATTTCTGTAGTGGCGAGAGGCTACTAAAGACACGCTGCCGCGCCGCGATAACCCTTTTTAGTGGTCGTTTTTCATTCGCCTCCTGTTGTTCATTTGCCTCTTTCATTTTTCTAGCCGTATCCCTTCGCTTTGACTGGCGGAGATCCATCTGCAACTCGCGCCTGTGGGAATATGGACAGCACCGCAACCGCAGCGATGCCATGCGCTCCGCCACCGCGGCGTCAAGGCTCCAATTCTCATACGACTTCTCACACTTCAGTTCGGCCACGATACTTTCAATGGCGGCGGCGCGTTGGCGTTCGTCTGCGGCGGCGCCGTCCTGCAGTACCTCCTCCTGCAACTTAAACAGTTCTGTGGCGCTGCGAAGAAGTTCTTCCTCCTTTTCCGCGGCAACTGAGGCGCGGACCGACGCCTCCCGCGCATAAATACGGCAGGATCCCCGCGTCCGCATCGCCGGACACAACGTCGAGCACAACGTCGTATCATCGCGGCGTCTTCCAAGAACGCGCGACCGTCTCGTGTAGCCAGCGGTGCTGGAGAGCATGGAGGGCAGTGCGTGGAGCAAAACGGCCGTTACGCAAGAAGAAAAGTGTGTCGAGTGGAAGGAGAAAACACCACACCTCATGCAGAAATAAAGCGTGCATATATATATATATATATATATATATATATATATGTATACAAAAGAATCAAAGCAAAAAAATAAAATAAAATAAAAAGAATGAAGAGGTGCCAGAAATACATGTGTGTGTGGGGAAAAAGAACATCAAGAGCAGAAAAAAAAATTTTCATGGATTAAGGGGCACACACACACACACTGGCTGGTGGTAGTGGGAGGGTTCAGAAGAGGCATTTGCGTTATTTTCACTTTCCTTGCATTCCCCCCGCCGCCTGCCTAGTCAAGTGACACAACGACGCTCACCGCGGCATCATAGCAGTCAGATGCCGGCAACACCTCGTCGCTAATGACGCCCCATCGCCCACTCCGCGAAAGTGCCTCCGTAACCATTGACGTTACTTCTCGCTTCAAAAGCGAAATATCTTTTCTGTCACCCACCACCTCCTGCTCCTGCTGCTGCTGCTGCGGACCGCCAAGAAGATTCACAAGAAGCGTGCTACCGCGATGCAACTTTGAAATGACGTGTGCGAGCTCGATACCAACAGACTCCCCCTTCGCCCTTCGCTGCCGCCCGCTGTGGGCCGTGTAGCAACCAAGAACAAAGTAGCGGGACTGCAACGCACGCAGCGGTTCCTTCTCAAGACGGCCACCGGGATGTGCCACCAGGCGCAGGAGACTTGTGATGTTTGCATCGTTTTCTTCCGGTGCTGCCGCCGCCACCTCACTGAGGGGGACGTAACTGACGTGGAAGTCCCGCTCCAGTTCCAGACCGCCCTCCACTCCCACATGTACGGCCACACGACTGAATGCACAATCCGCCTCGCTCACGTCCAAAACGGCAATTGGCTCGACAGCTGCACTCGATGACTGCCGCTCTTTCATCTCCCTCAAGAACAAATGAGCAAACGTCTGCCGCGCCGCGCGGAGTGCTCGAAACCCCGCCGCACGTGGCGATGCAAACACCACCCCGTTTTCCATAAGCGGAGTTGCCGTCTGCTGTTGCTGCTGCTGTGTCGTGATGAGCCACTCGGCAAGTACATCGTCGGAGGGGGTCTGCGGGGACAGTCCCACCGCCGTGACACTTTCTCGGAGTCCTTCTGGCAGCGCCGAATTTACGGCTCCCGCGACGGCCGCCACATCATCCGGCGACAAATCGTCAACGGTCCTCTCGCTTGAGTGGGCCCTCGCAAGCCGCAGCACGGCGCCGTACATCTCCAGCCGCGTGCCGCGTGGAAGGCCATCCGCACGTCCATCCGCAAGAACACACATGTTCGTCTCGCCGTCCCACCGCAAGCCAAGTACTTCCCAACGCAACGCCACCGCGCGGCGCACAAGCGATGGCGTCACCGTCAACACTGCACGGGTCCAAACGCGTGTGCGGCGCCACATTGACAACCCTACAGCCGTGTTTTTTATTTTATTTTTACTTCTTCGTTCTTTCCTCCACCCACAGCCCAGACACCGCAGCTTTTGTTGTCACAGCGGCTCACTGTCCCTCCACACTCTTGAATCCCTGAGCGCCCCCTTGCAACTCCGCGTGCCCACGTGCCTGGGAGATATTTGTTTGTTTGTTTTTATGGAGAGTGAGGGATGAGGGGGTGGAATAAAAGAAGCATGCAACCCGCTGCATCGTCCATTGACGAAACTGGCGGGGTGAAGAAGAAGGAGAATGGGGAATGGGAGCAGCAGAGACTGGCAGCGCCAGCGATGTTTCGTGATTTAGTCGAAGTCTTTTCTCTCTCTCACTCTCTCTCTCTCTCTCACTCTTTCCTTTTTCTTTCCCCTTCTACTTGACTTCTAAACACAAAAACAAAAATGAAAATAGGACTGCACGCAATCAATTAAAACATTGTCTCGTCGTCGTCGCATTTCACCACCGCTGCCTTCCACCCCCCTAAGAGAAAACAACCTGAAGATTTAGGAACAAAACTACACTTCTTCAAGAATAGCAGGGTCTATAGTACATTGGTTTGAACCTGCACACTATTGAGCAGCCGTTGCGCCGCGCTGTTAACGCTGCTAGGGAAACTTTCGCCATCGGACAACCGGAGGAGGAGCTGCAGAAGGCCACGCGACTCCACGACGCGCGAGGAATCCACCGAGTACGCCAGCAGGATCTCAATGAAGCGGATCGCGTGCACCACCTCCGTCCAACGATGTCGCTCCACCGCGAGGTCCGCTCGATCTACGGCTATGCTGAGAAATGCGTCCGATGCGGCCAGCGCCGCCGCCATGCGTTCATCCTCGCAGAGGTTGAAGAGGACCTTCATCACCTCGTCCTCACGGGACTCCTCCAAGACAGGAATGCTCTTCGCAGCATGTGCCAGTAGTGGCACGCTACACCGCGTGTCGCGTATGAAGGAGGCGGCCTTTTGAGATGCACACTGCAGCAATGGGAGACACCGGAGCAGTGCGATACGTGTGGCGGCGTCAATGGAGGCGTTTGAGGCGACGACGAGAAAAGTCCCCGCGATGCTCTTTCCCCCCACATTGAGACTCTTCAGATGACCCCTCGTTGCGTGGTGGACAAATTGCAGAAGAAGTAAAATTGCGTTGGGGCATAAGTGACGACTCGCCTCTTGCAAGGCCAGCAGCCACTTTCCTTCCGCTTGCCGTTCACCGCCACCGCCCGCGGCATTCGTGTTGCTGGAGCCGCCGACGTTACTTCCGCGAGAGACACCGGGTCGACCGCCACTTTCGCCACCACCACGTGCACCATTATCCGCCATGGCGACAGCCGCGTCCACTGCGGTGACGGCGGCCACGTTTGAAGCCTCCCCCCCGTCTCCGTTCTGCGCAACAAACATCGATGGACCCACAACGATGCTCTCATCACCTGTTTTTTTAAACACCTGCAGAAGAACCTCAAACAGCTTGTCTAAACTTTGCCACCCAATGAGTGGTTCCTTCTCCTCGTAAAAGGCGGTGCAGCAGGCCTCTTCGATAATGCGTGAACAGCATACACCGCGTGATCCGTGACAAATCGATTCTGTGAGACG